ATACTAACCTCCATTCCCTGGTGCTAATCCATACCTGGCTAAGAAACTGTAATATAATATAATATAATATATAATATAATTATATAATATAATCTGTCTTGACATGAGAAATTCTTGCTCTGATATATTTAGTTTGCAGCTATAGCTTTTTTATAGGGCATTAAGATGTTTTAGTTATTTACGAAATATATTACTTCTATTTGTGCTCTGACTACTTATCAGGATTGCACACTCCTGGTAAAATACTTATATACTTTTCATGTAAATCCTGACCTGCCATGAAAAGTTATGCCGTGCAATATTTGACATGAAGAGAGGCATGCTATGCTATTACTGAATGTGAAGCAATAATTGCTTATATGCTTATATATTGCAAAACCACTGATGTTTTTGTGTCCATATTTTTTTTAATATTTGCAAGTTTAGTTCACATATGATGTGATGTTTTCATGTTCAAATTAGAAAGATTATGCTTCCTATATTTATTCACTTATTTTTTATGTACATATGTTTTCACAATTAAAGTTAAGCTTATTAGCAACGCAATGCTTGCTTAGTTTAGAAAAACGATGCCTTTCATGAACATGTGCTCTTTTTATGTAATGAATTCCTAGGTATTCCTCAAATAGCTGTCTGGAAAATCTGGATGCAGATGAGATCTTGAGAAATTGATGAATGAATTTACACCGGATTTGCATGTATTAAAGACCAAGTAATGTGAAACCCAGTAGTGCGAAATGCGTCTTGGGTTACGCCAGCCAGGGGAGGTGAAGCCTACATAATTGACCCCTTGACAACAATACGCCACATTGCTTTGTATTACATTGTATTTATTAATTTTTACTTTATATGCTGCAATACATATTATTTGTTTTTTACCATCAATAATATTTGGTCAAAGCCTACTGATGATCCCCCTTTTTTTTAATTAATAGAAAATTGCAAAAGGAAAAGCAATAATAAAACTAAGGCTTTGATTTAATATTGTTGGATAAGATTTCCAAATTATTTAATATTTTTGGATAAATGTTTAAAATATTTTTTTAACACATTAAAATATTGAAAAATATACCATATATTCAAAATATATCAATATATACCAAATATATCCATATATAAAAAATATCTAAATATTAAAAACCTTTTTACAAATATTTATCAAATATGTTTTATTATATTAAATCATTTTGAAAATGTATTCACAAATATTAAATACTTTGGAAAGTTTATCCAACAATATTAAATTAAGGCCTAAGTTATCTTATTATTTTTATTTTTTGCAAAAAAGACATGTAATTATAACACTAGTACAAAAAGTGAGTGGGGCATCAGCTGATTTTTACCTGAGAAAATGTTTTGGCTGACTGATTATCCTTCATTATGGATATAAACACAGTGCCCTATCAGCTTATACCAGCTGCATCTCTTGGGGTAGCAGGCATATCCAGACCACAAGACTCAGCAAGGCAGGGCAAATCCAATACAATAAAAATGCATTTGAAAACATTATAGCCATCACCACATTTTAGAATTTTTTTTTTAAATAAAAAACAATAAAAAGATCTGCCATACTCTCAAGATGGGTTAACTTGTGCAGTAAATGGCCACACACTGTATGTTACTTAGGGAAGAAGCTTTTCAATGTGTAAAGCACAATCAGTGGCAAGAAAATGCACTGTGAAGGAAATGATCTGTAAATCAGTAAAACAATCTAAATCAATTCTTCAAAGTTGACACTGAGCATGGCAGTTACATAGCAAAGGGAGCTTTTTTGAATTTTTCATTATTTTTGTTTTTTTTACCAGCCTGAGCTTCTATTAGCTTGGTTGGGGAATGCATTGATAATGAAAAGGCTGGTGGTGATGGTTGCAGTGCTTGTTTTGGTGTTGGGGAATCATAGGAAGAATAGAAGGACAGTGGTTACCCTGCTAACAGATAAAGTTACAACTGTGTCCACTCTTGTAACTCCTCTGGCTCATAGTTGAGTACCTGGTGGACCAGAGATAAAGAAACTATGCCTGCAGCATTAAGTAAGAAATAAAAATCTCATTATCACCAGATTCATTAACACTGCCACCAAGACCAGACATTATGGACACTGTGGCACCAGTTCAGTGAATGTTATTTTGTTAACAAACAAAAAGACTCTGCTCACCTGTACCTTAGCTGCTTCTTGAGGTTTTTAGAAGGACTAACGCTAGTTGTACTATTCTAGCTGATGCTGCCAAAATACTTTACAAACACATTGCTACTACCTGTGGGCTCAAATGACTACAGATTTGTCTGCTACATTGAGTCACCAGTTAGTACAACTTAAGGTCGAGAAAAAAACAATTGCCTACTAGATAGTGAGTCAAATGTAATAGATGTGCTTGTCCCACTATCTTGAGGATGTATTTTCCAAATGATTTCCCAAAATTCGACTAAAAATACAACTTGTAATGACATTTGCATCTGGATATTTGTGGTATAGTGGAGGCTGATGATATAGCAGACATTTGTGACACAGTAGCGATTGGAAAATTAAAGGTAACTGGTGTTGTTGTGTAGAATTACTTGGTTGTAAAGGATATGGTGGTACAAATGAGGATGATATAGGTAATTCAGGAGTTTGTGGTTAATACTGCCACTATGATCGGTGTGGTAACCTGCAGAATTTAATAGAAAATTAGATTGAGAGGACATTATGAGAGCCTACTAAATGTAACAACTCATAACTGTTTTCATATTGATTTGGCACTGTAGGTTTGGATGCATGTAGGACAGCTGCAAAGATGAGTAAGGCTAATGAATGTGGTCTCTGTGAATTCCACATGAAGCTGTAAAATCCCTAGTTTTCTCCTTAAAGAGACAGCTCTGGTAAGTGGTCTGGGTGCAGTGCCCCAGGTCCCTTAACTTTAGAAAGATAATTATTGCAGTTTTAAAGAAACTATAACAATTAGCTTGGTGGGTTAACTCTACCTCTGGTGGCTGTGTACCACTAGAGCAGGGGTAGGGAATGTAGGGATCAACCAATATTGATTTTTTTTGCGCCGATACAGATACAGATAATCTGTGAACTTTCAGGCCAATAGCAGATAATTTACCGATATTCTGTACATTTACCATTTTGAAAAAAATAAACTATTTCTAAAGGTAAATGCACAAAATATACATGCCACATGTAGTGGATGCAGTGTATTTAGATAGGGGAGCTGTGTGTGTTTATGTAGTGTGTGTAGTGGATGCAGTGTGTATTTGTGTAGTGTGTATATAATGAATGCAGAGTATGTTTGTGTAGTGTGTATGTATAGTGAATGCAGAGTGTTTGTGTTTGTGTTTGTGTAGTGTGTATATAATGAATGCAGAGTGTGTATGTTTGTGTAGTGTGTATATAATGAATGCAAAGTGTGTGTGTGTGCTTGTGTAGTATGTGTATAGTGAATGCAGTGTGTTTGTGTTGTGTGTGTATATAATAAATGCAGAGTGTGTGTGTGTGTTTGTGTAGTATGTGTATTTAATGAATGCAGAGTGTGTGTGTGTGTGTGTGTGTGTGTGTGTGTATATAAATGAATGCAGAGTGTGTGTGTGTGTGTATGTTTGTGTAGTGTGTATATAATGAATGCAGAGTGTGTGTGTGTGTGTGTATGTTTGTGTAGTGTGTATATAATGAATGCAGAGTGTGTGTGTGTGTATGTTTGTGTAGTGTGTATATAATGAATGCAGAGTGTGTGTGTGTTTGTGTAGTGTGTATATAATGAATGCAGATTGTGTGTGTTTGTGTAGTGTGTGTATAGACCCAATTGACACTACCTTCTGAACATCAATCTCACAGAAACATCCAATGTCTTGACCTAGAGCATTTCTCCACTAATCTCCAAACTCTCCTTTTACCTATCTCAAACTTCACATGTCCTAGCTTTACAACCTCCTTCTACAATTCCGCCCTCTTCTCTCAACTAGACATCATGGCACCTCCTACATTTAAACGCAGCAGGTGCCCCCAACAACAACCTTGGCACACAAAGCTGACTCGATATCTCCAAAAATGCTCCAGAACTGCTATATAGTGAATGCAGTGTGTGTATAGAAAATGCAGTGTGTTTGTGTAGTGTGTGTGTATATAATGAATGCAGAGTGTGTGTGCTTGTGTAGTGTGTGTATAGTGAATGTAGTGTGTCTGTGTAGTGTGTGTATATAATGAATGCATAGTGTGTGTGTGTTTGTGTAGTGTGTGTATATAATAAATGCAGAGTGTGTGTGTGTGTTTGTGTAGTGTGTATATAATGAATGCAGAGTGTGTGTGTTTGTGTAGTGTGTATACCTCCCTTGGTAAACTCATTAGCTCCTTTGGCTTCCAATACCATTTCTATGCAGATGGCATGCAAATCTACCTATCCTCTCCTGATCTCCCCCCGTCCCTCTTGACTAGTGTCTCTGACTTCATCTCTGCTATTTCTTTTTTTTTTTTTCTTTTTTTTTTGTGCATACGATAACATTTGCTTGTGAGGTACCCAAAGGCAGTCCTCTAGCGCATTATAAACAATTTAAACATTAGGGTAGACGATTGGTCTAGCACTTTTGTTTTTTGTAAGGATATAAACAGTAGTGATGTACATAGGTTCTTTCAGTATATAACATGGCATAAAAAGGTTGTACGTGTCTTGAAACTGACTATTTGTTGGTAGGAGCTATGTATAGTTGAGTCAACAAGGCTTCAGGTTAGACATTATATGCACACTTATGCTAGGTCTATATATGATAACATGCTCGCTGCCTTAAGTGTGTGACTGCCTTAGGGCTTGTTACATGGTTATGCTTGAACACGCATGAGTAAGAAACAGATATTTTGTAGGTTAACGACAGGTCTGGACGTTTACATCATATGCTTATATCGCAGATTTATGTAGCAGTCCTGTGCTTTGTTAGTCCTAGGTGATTCTAAAGAGGATAGAGTGGTCGGTAGTCGCAGAAAGTCCTGCAACAGTTAGGGTGCCCTAGTTGTAGAGTACCAGAGAGAGTCAGCCAATGCCTCTTGTGGGCCACTGCAGGCGATCTTCCCCCGTATCCACCATGGGGTAAGCGCCATGGGGCGAGCCTCGGTAGGTTCTGGCTCCTGTTTTTGATTGGAGGGGTGGTGAGGGAATTCTCTGTCTCCAGGCCTGTGCCAGGGTCCACTTCTTTGTGCCGCCGGTCGAGTGCCTTGCATAGCCCAGATCATTCTCTTTTTGGGGAGAGTGGGGACGGGTCAGGGTTTTGCGTCGCCGTGTGGGTAAAATGGTTCGCCAGCGTATTCGGCGCCGACGGGTTAGTCTTTTGGCGACCCTTTTGGTGACCCCGGGTCCAGATCTGGGTCTGGGTAGGCAGTTGTTGCCTGTGGCGGGTGCTGGGTGTTGGCGTGTACCACTTTGTATTCCGCGGCTATTTTGCATCTCCCACCCCTGGTCTTTTGCTTGGAGGTCTCGTTTGTAGCTTGCCTCTCTAGCCTTCAGCTTCTCCCAGAAGGCCTCCAGGATGGTTTTAAGTTTTGCCTCTAGGCCCTCTTGTGGCAATTGTCTGCTGTGTGAGCTTGTTTGCCTGGCTCGGCTGCTGCAGAGAGGTGCGTCCGCCATTTTGTGTATAGTGTTGCTCCGTCGCATGTGCTGCCTGGAGCCTTCCGCTCTGCTGTCGGTAGTTTGTGGACCGGGATATCCCCCCCGGCCCATAGGTGGGGGAACGGGACTCTTTGTAGTCCTGCTGGGGGTTGAGGCAGCAGCCGCAGCCTCACTGTTTCGTCTTGGTCGGGCGGCATTACGGTTTTCGGTATCGGAACGCTCCGCCCGTCTTTCTCGCTGAGTAAGCCCCTGTTTGGTGCGGTTTGTGGATGGCAGGAGTCCTTGTAAGACGCTCAGGAAGGTAGTTCGTTAGGGAGCTCCTGCATAGTGCTGCCATCCGCCATGCTTGTCAGGCCCCGCCCCCCATCTCTGCTATTTCTAACTGGATGGCTGCTCACTTTCTTAAACTCAACTTGACCAAAACTGAAATTCTGGTCTTTCCTCCTCAAGTGTTGCTACTCCTGTATCTGTCTCCCTCCAAATCAATGGTGCTACCATCAGCTCCACCACACAGGCTTGCTGCGTAGGTGTTCTCTTTGACTCCAACCTCTCCTTCACGCCTCATGTTCAGTCTATCGCCATATCCTGTCATTTCCATCTCAAAAGCATTGCACGCATCCGACCCTACTTAACGCCAGATGTGACTAAGGTGCTGGTCCGTTCCACTGTCCTTTCTCGCCTTGACTACTGTAATGCGCTTCTCAGTGGTGTTACGTGCTCACAACTTGCGCTGTTACAGTCCATAATGAATGTGGTGGCAAGGCTCATCTTCCTGTCCTCCCGCACCTCCTATTTCTCACCCTTCTGTCAGTCCCTACATTGGCTTCCTGTAAGATATAGGGCTCAATTTAAAATTCTGGTTCTTGCTTTCAAATCTCTAGATAATGCTGCTTCCACCTATCTATCCTCCCTAATACACAAGTATGTCCCGTCTAGGCCCTTAGGCTCTGCTGAAGACTTACGTCTATCTTCTGTCTTTACTCCCACCTCTGATGATCGCCTTCAAGACTTCTCGAGGGCCCCTCTGTTCCTGTGTGTCCAACTTCTCTGGTTACAACTACATGTCTGTTCGTCCAGCCATTGTAAAGTGCTGCGGAATTTGTTGGCGCTATATAAAAAATAACATAATAATAATAATAATAATAATAATAATAATAATAATAATGAATGCAATGTGTTTTTATGTATTGTGTGTATATAATGCAGTGTGTGTTTTTGTAGGTATTTAATGTGGGGAGAGGGAGGGCATTTTTTATTTAAAATTATTTTTAAATATTTCAAAAAATTTGTATTTTTGGTTCCCCATTCCTGCTTCTTTCTTGGCCAGGGAGGGGAGATATAGCATTCCCTGGTGGTCCGGTGGCATGGACTGTGCAGTTAGGGCCCGCAGCAAGCAAGCACTTACCTTCCCAGCAACTTCCTTCAGCTCCCCTGTCTAAACCTTGCAGCTAATTATTGCAGTTTTAAAGAAAGACACATACACACGCACACACAGTGTGAGCAGCAACATCATCAATACCAGCTAACATCACACCAAAGAGAAGCAGTTCCAGCCATCACATTAGGAGTTAGTTAATTAAATGTTTAACCAAATATAGCAGGTTAATTTTTAAGTTGATTATTTTGTATGGCCCGCGAATTATGTTTTAAATATCCAAATGGCCCTTGGCAGATAAATGGTTCCTCACCCCTGCACTAGAGGGATTTACGGGCCACTAGGTGACTTTTGGTTGCCTAACTGACTTTGTACGTCCTCACTCTATGCATGGGGACATCCAGCACCACCCAAAACCCCATAGGAAAGCATTGTATAATGCAAGTGTGGTCATCGCTGCATATGCACATTAGGTCTCCCCTACTGGCTGATGTCAGTGGGGGAGGAGAGTAGATGGACCCAAGCCAATGCTGAGGGGCTTTAACAAAGGTCAGGCCAGGGGAGGTGTGAGGCAGGGGGAAGCTATAGTTCAAGGAAAAAAAGCATTGTTTTCCTGGCACTATCGTTTCCCTTTAAGTTTAGCTGGTTAACATGTGCTATATCCTTAGCTTCCAGCTAGTAAGCACACATTTCAAGGCAATAAAAGGCAAATGTAAGTTAAGTTTATCAGTAGAGCTCATAGTTAAGGCATTGGCCTTCTCTATTCTTTAAACATTAGAGATAAAAGTACAACTTTGAACAGATTTGGTACAACATATGACTTGCTGAAGAATATATTACTATATAGAAACATTAAATAAACCATTGTGTTGTTTAGTAATGCTTCCTGTAACTGTTTAAAAATTCTTGCAGCAACTTTAAATGTTGTTGTTTTTTTTTAACAATGTATAATACTTAATATATTTATTGCAAAAATAAATTATTTAAGGTCCCTTTAATTATCAAATACTGTCACCAATGCTCACGATGTAAGTCACCAACATTCCTCATGATTCATAGTTTAATTTTTATCAACACATAAAACATTGTCTACATGGAAAGAAGGATGCAAGTTTGTGCTTCTGATTTAAAAATAACTATTGAATTCAAGTTACTTTGTAATGCTACATAATTCACATCCAATTATCATACTTTTGCATACTTACCTCCTGCTGTCTTCAAGTACATAAAGTACTCTTTAAAACTAATGACCTCTTACAGTGGGTGCAATCTTAACAGCATTATGATCAAAATCATTCATAAATTAGGCTTGACACTATCATTCAATAATCCCTAAATCTGACAAAGTGCAATTATGTACAAGAGCTGTTTGAAATAATAATAGCATATTAAAATATCTGGAAAAAAAAAAACCCTTTTCATATGTAAGTAAAGTAAATGTAGTGTTCACTGTCAGAATTTTAAACTAGGTGGATAAATGATGGTAACAATGGAATAGTGCAGCTGGAGTGCTACTAATATACTTAATAAAAAAGGTTTGAGCCAGAAAATAGTAAAGGCCATCCAATCTACAGCACAGTGTTTCTGACATCAAAGAAAGCGTGAATAAAAGGGAAATAGCTCTTTATTCCGAGTGCAGTCCTCTACATTGCATTCATTAAAACAATTATTGAAAATGGCACAAAGACTTTAGCTGACCTCTCCACTCTCTGTAAAAATTACAATTAATTGCACACTGCTTTACTTCTTAAAAGTTTGTCATATATATAGTGTAAGAAAAGACTGGTGGGATGTTGTGTGAGTGGCGAAATCATACACATCATGCCAGTTATTTTATGATTGAATAGAACGAAATGACAAAAACACCACCTGAAAAGAAAAGAGTACAAGGGACATACTAAACACCGTAATAGTTACTAATAATTCAGTGAGCAGATTATGGTTCTTATTTAGAGTTGAGCGGACACCTGGATGTTCGGGTCCGGCGGGTTCGGCCGAACTTTGAAAAAAAGTCCGGGTTCGGGCTTGAACTTGACCCCGAACCCGAACACCATTGAAGTCAATGGGGACCTGAACTTTTGGCCACAAAAATGCCTCTAGAAACTCCTGGAAGGAGCTAGAGAGCTGCAAAAGCAAATAAAATGGGGATAAGAGTAGGACAAGTGCCCTGCAAACAAATGTGGATAGGGAAATCACTTAAAAATAACATAAAAATTACAAATACAGCTGAGCCATAAAATAGCATTGGAATCTTTGATTTTAGCTTTGGAAGAACATAAAGCAAAATCTAAAGCATGGCTGTCAGGAGGATACCTAGTTTATACTAAGTGACCCATAGGTTGAGGAGGCGGTGACCGTGGCGGTGTAGGTGGAAGCAGCGGTGGAGGAGGAGGATGAGGTAGCCAACACTGTTTTTTATTTTTTTGTTTTTTGTTTTTTAATTGGGGTAGCCCCCAAAATATTGGGACATATAAAAAAGGAAACAATTTGCGGCATGCAGTGCATTTTTTGCAGTTCTGATGCATGGAGAAAAGGCATTCACAAGCCTCTGCTAATGTGTACCTAGTTTATACTAAGTGACCGATAGGCTGAGGAGGCGGTGACCGTGGCGGTGTAGGTTGAAGCAGCGGTGGAGGAGAAGGAGGAGGTGGTAGCCAACACTGTTTTTTTTTTTTTAATTGAGGTAGTGTCAGGATTACTGTTTGATCCAGCACGTAGAACTGTACAGCACGGATGACAAATAAGTAACGTATTACCGGTCCTTAGAATGGCCGGATTTAACGTACAAAGAATAGTAAAAAATACTAGCCGAGGTCAGGGAACACAGAAAGGAACACAGCGATGAGGAAAGCCAGGAGTCAGGATACCAGAATATAGAGAAGTCAATAAACAAAGCCAAAGTCAAAAACCATGTAGAAAACTATAAACAGGAACGCGCTCTCAGACAACCACAAGGGAAACCACGACAGGGCACTGAGCAGGCTGAGAACTGGGCCTAAATACACCTCCTTTAGTTCTGATAGGCTGTAACCGGCCTTTGACCCCAAAGTCAGTTACCAGGTTTCATTTGCATAATTGCTGCTCAGCATTAACCCTTCTGTGGATTAGGTTGCTGCTCGGCACAACTTTTCCTGTGTGGACAGTAAATGTCATTAACCACATTTCTATAAGCGGATGAATATGTGACATTATCCCCCACTTGAAGAACGCCCACCGGGCGGACAGGACCAGGCTTGAGAGGAAATTTAGCGTGAAAAGCGCGGATCCTACGGCCCGCATGCAGGTCAGGAGCCGAAACCCAAGAACGATCAGCAGGACCGTAACCTTTCCAAACAACCAAGTACTGTAAAGTGCCCCGAGAAAACCTAGAATCCACGATAGAAGATACCTCATACTCTTCCTGACTACCCACCAACACCGGAGGGGGAGGAACACAAGGAACAGTATATCTATTGCAGACAAGAGGTTTGAGTAAGGACACATGAAAAGTGTTGGGAATCCCTAAAGATGCAGGAAGAGCCAGAGAGTAAGACACTGGATTGATCCTACTAAGCACTCAAGAGGGACCAAGGAATCTGGGGGCAAACTTCATGCTAGGGACCTTAAGCTTGATGTTGCGAGATGACAACCAAACCCGGTCCCC